TTTTTCTGAAAAGGTTCATTAAATAGATTTTTAAATGATAGACAATTCTGGAAAGAAATAAGAATAAACCAAAGAACTGAAAAATTAGGTCTATCCTGCAGAAGCCCAACCTGATGAAGACTATTCTATTCTTGACTGTATTTTGGTGTCTGTCATGGGAACTCTGGAATTTTTTGCCTTTGTGGTTGGGAAATTCAGCTCCTTTCCAGGCTTCCTATGTACTTGCTTTCTTGTTAAAAGTGTGTTTTGAAATGTTGCTTGATCTTTCCTTTAATAGATATTTATTTCCTGAGTAAATGCATTAGTTGCAGAATTTTTCCCATTTATGTCATTAAACTCCTGGCTAAGGGCACTGCAGGTTATGAGATATCATACATGCAAAAAGGAGTACTGGAGCTATGTTAAGTGTATAGGTGTAAAATGACAATTAAATAAATGTTTTTTTAATTTTAAGTAATAGAAAAATCATTGATAATGCCTCATATAATGTCTGTGTTCTGAATCAAAAATTTAAAGCAAACTTGATTTATTTTCATTTTGTGCCAGCACACTGACATCTGTACATTGATTTTTTTTTTTCCTTTTTGTCTTTTTTACTGAGCGGTAACGGGATTGCAACCCTTGGTGTCGCGCCCATACCGGGGGACCGGCAACGGGATCGCAACCCTCGGTGTTGCGTCCGCACCGTGCTCAGCCAGTGAGCTCCTTTTTGTCTTTTTTACTGAGCGGTAACGGGATTGCAACCCTCGGTGTCGCGCCCATACTGGGGGACCGGCAACGGGATCGCAACCCTCGGTGTTGCGTCCGCACCGCGCTCAGCCAGTGAGCGGGAACCGGTCTCCACATGGGATCTGAACCCTCGATGGGAGCACCGCCGCGCTCCCAAGCGGCGCACTCTCCAGTGCGCCACTGGGCTGGCCCTGTACATTGATTTTAATGGCATTGATTCCTGAACATCTCATTTATTTTTGAGATTTGGTTTAAAGCAGTGAGGACATCTAGTCTTAATATTTTGTAATATTTTAATGTAATTGAATAACAAGACATTATCCAAAACTATGAAGTTGATATGATTATAAAAATAAGATTAAAAATGAGCTTTAGATATATGAGGGATCTTCAAAAATTCATGGAAAGCTTTGTATTATCTTTTGATCTTGTTTTTCCACGAACTTTTTGAATTACCCATGTATATACTTTTGTTGGTCATAGAGTGTAAAACTTCCCACCAAAAGTAATTAATTTCCAGCTGTAATTACTCATTTCACATAAACCTGCGATTACACTGTCCTTCAGAATCTTCAAAGCTCCTCCTCCTCAAAATAGTAACTTTATTTCACCGTCTCTGCTTTGAGAATCACTGTTGGAATAAGCGTTGTTTACTAAGGAGGATTGTTGATACTCTTCAGGTAAATTGAGGAGGAAAGAATTTATGTTATCTTTCATCTGTACACCACAGCCTTGGCTTCTCATTCTAATTCCCTAATCCTGTTATTTATGTGTCCAAGTTTTGTGGGTTTTTTTAATGTGCTTCTCACATCTTCTGAAATAAAGGACACATAACTGGTCATTTATTTTTTGGTGTTTTCATGATATTGCAGAATTAAAGGTTGAACTCATGGCTTCTACTTTGTTTTCCATACTGTTAATTTATAAGCTCTTAACAGAATCTTAATAAATAACTTCTTTGACATTTTTTCTTTTTCTAGGGATAGGGGATCAGATGCATCATGGAAGAATGATCAGGAACCACCACCAGATGTAAGGATAAGCCTTTTTACACAATATTTTAGGAAGTAGAGCAGGACTTAATCTTAAAAATTAATCATTCTTGACCTTAAGGAGGTCATTAATACTCCTCAGAGTCATACTGTCTTCCCCTAGCCCATGCGTTCTCCTGCTTTCCTAGTTGACTGTTTTATACCTTTCAGTAAAAGTGGTTGATCATTTTAGACCAAAAAATTTTTTTCAGTTATATTTTATTAATTACTTTATCAGCTTATTTACCTTATAATTTCCTATTTTTATGAACTTTGTTGACATCTAGTAAAGGTAGGATATCATTATTTTAAAAAATTGTATTCAGTTTAGTAAATTCACCATATACAACATGAAGACATTTATTATGGTGCTTTAAAAAAATAAGCTGTCCTTCTTTGGGAGGTACAAAATTATTAGGATCTACCTACTTGTCCATTTTTTGCATTGTAAGTACAGCCATGTGCTGCGTAACGACATTTTAGTCAATGACAGACCACATATATGATGGTGGTCCCATTAGATTATAATGGAGCTGAAAAATTCCTTTTGCCTAGTGATGATGTCATGTCGCATCTCAGTGTTGCTCACATGTTTACTCACATGTGTTACATGTTTGTGGTGAGGCTGACTAGGAGCAATAGGCTGTAGACTAGGTGTGTAGTTGACTATACCATCTAGGTTTGTGTAAATACATTCTGATGTTTGCACAACCACAAAATCGCTTAATGACACAATTCTCGGAACTTATCCCTGTTAAGCTGTGCATGAAAGTACAAAAATTGCAGCAATGAGTGTATTCATTTCTTGAAAATAGTATGAATTTATATAGTATTAAAAGAAAAAATATAATTATTACGTGTAAGAGTTTTTAAATGTACTCAGCAGTTCTAATGAAGTTTTTTAGTACTGTAAATTTTTGATATCTGTCCCATATGCCCATAGCATTAATAGTACTTATTTATTATATTCTTGGTTTATCTACTTTCTCATTTGACTGAATAGTTTCAGAGAAAGGAATGTCTTTCATGTGAACTCAGTACTTTCTAATGTCTGGCAGTTACCAGATTTAACTTGACCTTAAAAATCTTAGTACATTAAGATCAGTAATAATCCTGCATTTGAAGATACTAAAATTAGTAGGTGTTTTTGAATTTGATTATAGATTCTGAGGTATATAGGCTCTTAGTTGATGGAGGATTTGATCTAGAATGTATGTCAGCAAGGCCATTCTGAAAATTCCATAGAAACACTTTTATATTTCGGGCCGGCCCGTGGCTCACTCGGGAGAGTGCGGTGCTGATAACACCAAGGCCCCGGGTTCTGATCCCATCCCCAGATGGCCGGTTCGCTCACTGGCTGAGCGTGGTGCTGACAACACCAAGTCAAGGGTTAAGATCCCCTTACCGGTCATCTTTAAAAAAAAAAAAAAAAGAAACACTTTTATATTTCGGGCCGGCCCGTGGCTCACTCGGGAGAGTGCGGTGCTGATAACACCAAGGCCCCGGGTTCTGATCCCATCCCCAGATGGCCGGTTCGCTCACTGGCTGAGCGTGGTGCTGACAACACCAAGTCAAGGGTTAAGATCCCCTTACCGGTCATCTTTAAAAAAAAAAAAAAAAGAAACACTTTTATATTTCGGGCCGGCCCGTGGCTCACTCGGGAGAGTGCGGTGCTGATAACACCAAGGCCCCGGGTTCTGATCCCATCCCCAGATGGCCGGTTCGCTCACTGGCTGAGCGTGGTGCTGACAACACCAAGTCAAGGGTTAAGATCCCCTTACCGGTCATCTTTAAAAAAAAAAAAAAAAGAAACACTTTTATATTTCATTTTATTTCTTCTTTTTAAATGTGCTCACATGTGTACACAGTGAGCCTGTTTTTATATGTTTTTATATGAAACATAATCTCTGTTTTGGGGTATAAATAGAATAATAAAATGCCATTCAAGAAATCATGGCAATCATAATATATACAGTTCATACATCTTGGTTTTCTGGTGGGTTGTAACAGTGAATTCTAATTCTTAATTACTTGTAAATTTTCACTTGTAATTTTAAATGGTTTTTTTTCTTAGAAGTTGGGTCATGTGTGTATCTGCTTATAAAACCCTTTTCTACAGTCTTATCTAAATAACATCCTCATGATTTTTTATATCCTTACTTTGTCTTATTATTGATTTATATTCCCTACTATATACTTGAAATTATATTATTAAAAGAGTTAATACCTTAAACTTGTAAAGAATTAAACCTGTAAAGTATTTAGAACATTGCCTGGCATACAATGGGTATGTGTGTTTTGAATGAATACTCATAGGACTTTCTATTTTATTTTTATATTGGACCTGATAATGTGTGTAATTTGCTAAGTCCTGACTACTTCCTTTGGCAGCTGGCACAAATCTTAAGTCTAAGCTGGAAGTTAGACTTCTAGCCAGGGAACACCCATATCTGAAGGTGGTTAAAAATTGGCATTTTAAAGTTACCTACCTGAAACTTTCTAGGAATTAGAAAAACAAACAAAAATCAAGATCTTACTCATCTTGATTACTGGCCAGTGTTAATTAAGAATCATGAGACAATTATCAAAAAATACTTTCTTTTTCTACCATGTCTAACTAATCCAGATATTAGTAGAAAATATTATGTACTGAAAAGGGTACTTTTTTTTCAGGGTCAATAGTAAATAATAGGCTTATTTTCCTCACTTCCAACTATGTACTATTGAATTGGCAAATACTTCTAACATATACTTTTCTCTGCAAGGCCTTAGATTTCAGTGATGATGAAAAAGAAAAAGAAGCCAAACAAAGGAAAAAATCTCAGATTCAAGGCCGGAAAAAACTCAAGTCTGAATTTAATAAGCCGGGTGAGTGAATACAATATGTAGTCGTTTTTAATCTTCATTTACATCTGTATAAGTTCATCAATAATAAAACTGAAGGAAACAACTGGGTTCTCTCTATTTACTTCCCTGCATTCAGCCAGCATCTTCTAGTCTGTAACTTGTCTTTTTATCCTCTTAAGAGGGCCTTTTGCAGAACAAAAGTTTTAATTTTGAGGAAGCCCAATTTATCAGTTTTCCTTTTGGAGAGTCTGAGAACTTCTTGCCTAGCCCTAGATCCTAAAGATTTTCTCTTAATTTTTTTCCTAAAAGTTTTGTAGTCTTCTTTTTTACATTTTACATTTTTGGTTCATTTTGAATTAGATTTTGTATAGGATGTGAAGTTTAGGCCAATCTTCATTCTTTTGCTTATGAATGTATAATTGTTCCCATACCATTTATTGAAAAGGTGTAGTTCCTCCAATGAAATGATTTTGACCTTTGTCAAAAATCAGTTGGCTATATTTGTGTTGATCTATTTCTGTGTTCTCTGTTCTGTTTCATTTATCTATGTGTCTATACCACACGGTTTTGATTGTTGTAGCTATAAGTCTTGAAATCAGATAGAGTGATACCTTCTGCTTTATTCCTCTTTTTCAAAATTATTTTAACTATTCTAGTTCCTTTGTACTTCAGTACAAATTTTAGAATAGTCTTCTCTATGTCAATAAGAAATCCTGCTTACATTTTGATAGGAATTGTGATTAATGTGTATATGAGTTTGGAAAGAATTGACATTTTAACCATGTTAAGACTTCCATTCCAGGAACATGGTAGTCATCTCCATTTATTTAGACCCTCTTTGATTTCAGCAACATTTTGTAGTTTTCAGAATATAAATTATCTTTATGTTTTCCAGTTTATTGTCTTTAGGTATTTTCCGTTGTTCTGTCTCTTTCCTCTCTTCCTTCCATTCGGTTGTTGAGCTCATCTATTGAGGTTTTTTAGGGCTTTTGTTTTTTATTTTTTTATTGAGAGGAAAGTTGATATACCATATACTCTCTACTCCCACCCATGCATAGCCTCTCTCATTATCAGCATTTCTCAGAGTGGTACGTTTTTTACAACTGATGAATGTACACTGACATCATAATCACCCAAAATCATAGTTCATATTAGGGCTCATTCTTGGTGTTGTACATTCTATAGGTTTGAACAAATGTGTAATGACATGTTTCTGTCTTTATAGTGTCATACAGAGTATTTTCACTGCCCTAAAATTACTCTGTGCTCCACGCATTCATCACCCAATTTTAGATTACCATTAATAATATGCATTTAGATTTCTCCATGTCTTTTCATGGCTTGAGGGCTCATTTATTTTTAGCACTGAATATTATTCCATTGTCTGGATGTAGCACAATTTATTTATTCCTTGACCTCCTGAAGGACATCTTGACTGCTTCCAAGTTTTGGATGTTACAAATAAAGTTGGTACAAACATTCGTGTGCAGGTTTTTGTGTGAACATAATTTTCAACTCATTTTGGTAAATACCAAGGAGTAAGATTGCTGTTTCACATACTAAGTAAGTTTAGTTTTGAAAGAAACTGTTAAACTGTCTTCCAAAGTGGCTGTACTGTTCTGCATTCTCACCAGCCATGGATGAGAGTTTCCATGGGTCCACATATTTGCCAGCATTTTGTGGTGTCAGTGTTCTGGATTTTGGCCAAGTTTAGTTTTGAAAGAAACTGTTAAACTGTCTTCCAAAGTGGCTGTACTGTTCTGCATTCTCACCAGCCATGGATGGGAGTTTCCATGGGTCCACATATTTGCCAGCATTTTGTGGTGTCAGTGTTCTGGATTTTGGCCATTCTATAATAGGTGTGTAATAGTATTTTATTGTTTTAATTTGCATTTCTCTGATGACATGGGATATGGAGCATCTTTTCATATACTTATTTACCATCTGTATATCCTTTGATGAGGTATCTGTTCAGCCCTTTTGCCCATTTTTTTATTGGGTTGTAACAGTCCTATATCAGCTATGTGTTATGCAAATATTTTCTCCCAGTCTATGGCTTTCTTTTCATTCTCTTGACTGTGTCTTTCACAGAGTAGAAAAATTTAATTTTAATGAATTTCAGCTTATTAATTCTTTCATGTATCATCCATTTGTAGTCCTATCATCAATCCAAATGCTGTTCCGTTGATCTTTCACCAATACTGTACTGTTCTAGTTATTGTAGCTTTATAGTAAGTTGTAAAGTCAGATAGTTTTAGTCCTCCAACTTTGTTCTTCTCCTTTAATATTGTCCTTTGGGTTTCTTATTTCAATTATTGTAATGTTCAGTTCTAAAATTTCTGTTTATTTTATATCTTTTATTTTACTTTTTGCTGAGACTTTTTTTTATTTTTTAGGCATATCATAATAACTTGTTGAAGCATTTTTATGACTGCACTAATATCTTTCTTGATTAATTCAAACGTCTTTGTTGATTTCCCTTTTTCATTTAATTTGAAATCTTCCTGGTTCTCTTTATGAATGATTTTTTATTGAAACCTAAATATATTGGCTATATTTTTTGAAATTCTGG